TTCGCAGGGTGGCAGGGCACACCCTTATAGACAAGGTGCGGAGCTCTGTCTCCCGGGAGGAGCTCAGAGTAGAGCCACTGCTCCTCCACATCGAGAGAAGTCAGCTGAGGTGGCTCAGGCATCTGTTTCGGATGCCTCCTTCATGTACATATACCTAAGGAGGTGTTCCAGGCATGTCCCACAGGGAGAAGACCTCGAGGAAGACCCAGGATATGCTGGAGGGACTATATCTCTCAGCTGGCCTGGGAATGCCTCGGGACCCCACCCGGAGGAAGTGTCTGGGGAGAGGGAAGTCTGGGGTTCTCTCCTAAAACTGCTGTCCCCCCGCGACGTGGCCCCGGAAAAACGGTTGAAAATGAATGATTGAATGAAAGTTGTCAAAAATGAACAAATGTGAAAATATATCACCACTTCACCTCAAATTTAGTTGCATTTATTGTACAACCAAGTCAACTCAATCAATTACATGAGCCAGCCAACCCAGCAGACACATGAACGACCTACAACGTTGAAACAACCTTGAAGTAACGTTTAATGTCAAACGACTGAAAAACAACCTGCACATGACAACCTACGTTGAAATGTGGCTGTAAAGAGCAAGTTGTTGTCGTTTCGACGTTGAAACAACGTTTAAATAGGGTTAAAAGGTGAATGATTTGAAATAGGTTAACAGAAACGCTGTTATAAATTAACCCTGAGAAGCTGGAAATATTTGCACAACAGCAGAGGAAGAAGAAAGCATTAAATTATACCTTACCGTCACATCCCTTATCTAAAATGCAGTCTGTCTCAAATGAGGAGGCATCTTGAAGTAAATAACATAAACAAAAGAGGAGGTTACTCAAACATTGCACGAACACAGCAAAACAATAATCAAAACCATCTTGTGAAATGCTTCATAAATCACCAGAGTCAGCTTTAGTCCACTTAAGAGTGAGAATTAAAATAAATAAACACTTTTTACACATGTTCATGAATATTAGTTGATAAAAATGAACCGAGAAACATCAAGAATCGACGATACACAACGCGAATATTAAACCAATTATCACCTGTGAGGCTCAATCAGCGTTAATTAGCTGAGTGCAGTAGTTCAGAGTTTCACCGCTGGAGGCCGACAGAGACTGCGGATCTCTAATAAAACTGCACGCCCTGTGGGTCGAGATTGCACACGAATCCCATGCTTTACTCAACAAATGTTACATGCTTGTAAAAGTCTGTTATTTTATAATCACCCAGAAATCAGTTTTCCTTTAGTCACACAGGGCGTTTAAACATGTTTTTGGTCATAACTATGTTTAATATACAAAGAATTATAACATTATAAATGGTTTTATTACTAACTTTAGTTGTTTACCAATGGTATTTCATATTAAGGAAATTAAACATTAATTTTAAAGAAATCAATGCATGTGTGATCACTTTTTATTTCTATTTTTAACATACAACAATTTATAATTAAAAATATCTCAGCATAATATAGTTTGTTTTCAGATTAAACAATAAATGTATAAGTATCTCATTAATAATAATATATAATTTACTACACAGACACACACATGCATTTTGTCTTGATAATGCCGCATTGTTTCTTTAAAATACTGCCAGATAAATCAAATGTAAATCCTGAATCACATTACAAATTCAATTAAAGATAGCATGAGCTGCTTACCATATTTATTCTTTGTTTTGTGTGTATTTCTTAAAACAGTGGGATGTAATCAGAGTTGCATCAGAACAATGGATATTACACATCTGACATTCAGAGTCTCAGAAAGCAATTTGTATAGAACAAAAATTGAATGCACACATAATTGCCACCCAGAGCAATCTCAAAACCTCCAGAAACACAAAAGACGCTCGCTGGCATGGGATAATATTTATTGAATAATCATACATTACTTCACATTGCTTTTCTGCTGTGACATGTTCCACACGGCTGCTGCTGCTGAATTCAAGAAATGTTCTTGATAACGGTTCCTATGGCAACAAAATGTAAGTGCAAAAAGATTACGACGTAATCAAGAGTACTGCATGACAAACTCCGGCCACCAAAAATATGAAGGAATCCCATTTATGCCGTGTGACCTCATTCGAGGATGCTTTATGTATGATATGCATAATCACAATCAGGGCTTGACATTAAACTGATGAAATGAAAGGCTTATTATTAGTTACTCCAAACCAGGGGTGCCCAAACTTTTTGTTATGAAGGGCCAAAAATTGATTGAGATCTAAGTAGGTAAATATACCAAACTGCACTTAAAAATGCAGTGTTCCACACAGATGATTAGGTTTTTAATTCAGTTAGGTTAACATGTTTAAGGGGATTACACATAAAACAATTAAGCTGTCCCCCCAATCATCTCAAGAATTGGGTTATTCCCGCTCATTAAGTAGGTTGAAAAAGCAGCAATATATAAAGATTTAAAGACTTGACTAGGATAATTAGGCAAGTTAATGTAATTAGGCAAGTTATTGTATAACAGTGGCTTGTTCTGTAGACATCTAAAAAAAATCTCCAGAAGAAAAAATATTATAGGAAATACCGTGAAAACTTTTACATAAGTAGGTTGAAAAAGCAGCAATATATATATATATTTATATTTTGAGTGTTTAATATATAAAAGTTTCCATGACTAATTTCTTAATTTATTTCATATTATTAATAATTAATAAATAAATAGACTTAATCATATTAAATAATGCAATAGATTTTTAAAAACATTTTATAATGAACTTATTAAAATAAAAACATAATTACTTTGTTTAACACAATGAAGATGCCAAATACACAAGTAAAGCTGAACCTGCCTTCTGCATGGTCTGCTATCCATCAGTCACAGTGTATTTTGTAAAATCTGAATAATTCACAGCCTTTTTCAGTTTTTTTTTTTTTTTTTTGTAGCTCAACAACAAAACAAACTACCAAAAAAATCACCTCCCTTCTCAGATGGGATGGTGGGCCAAACTTGGCCCTAGTTTGAGCATCCCTGTTCTAAACATGTTTTTTTTTTTTTAATCAGATATTTTGAAGAATGTTGGAAACCAGAAGCCATTGACTTCTGTAGTAGTAAAAAGGAAAATAATGGAGATCAATGGCCTCTTCTTAAAAAATATCTATAATACTAAATATATATAGTTGGAGTCAAAATGAATTATTATTATTATTAACTAACAACTAATTTCTTTTATCTTTGCCATGTCGACAGCACATAATATTCTACTAGATACTTTTTCAAGATAGTATTCAATTTAAAGACTTAACCAGGTTAATTAGGCAAGTCATTGTGGCTTGTTCTGTAGACATCTAAAAAATATTGCTTAAGAGGGCTAATAATTTTGACCTTAAAATGGCTTAAGTAAAAATTAAAAACTGCTTTTTTCTAGCCGAAATAAAACAAATAAAATGATCTCTAGAAGAAACAATATTATAGGAAATACCGTGAAAACTTTTACATAAGTAGGTTGAAAAAGCAGAAAAAAATATATATATTGAGTGTTTAATATATAAAAGTTTCCATGACTAATTTCTTAATTTATTTCATATTATTAATAAATAAATAAACAGTCTTAATCATATTATATAATGCAATAATTATTATTTTTTTACATTTTATAATGAACTTATTAAAACAGAAACTTAATTACTTTGCTTAAAACAATGAAGATAAATGAAGTAAATGAAGTAAAGTTGCACCTGCCTCCTCCATGGTCTGCTATCCATCAGTCACAGTGTATTTTGTAAAATCTGATTCTTTCACAACCTTTAACGGAAACATTTTCAGTTTGCTTTTTCGTAGCTCAAAAATAAAACAAACTATGAAAACTACCACCCTTCTCAGATAGGATGGCGAGCCAGATTAAAAGTTACCAAGGGCCAAGTTTGACCCGCTGGCCCTAGTTTGGGCATCTCTGTAATAAACATTTTTTTAGCAGATATTTTGAAGAATGTTGGAAACCAGTAGCCACTGACTTCTGTAGTAAAAACAAATCTATGGAGATCAATGCTCTCTTCTTACAAAATGATCTATATACATAATATTATATACAGACAGTTGAAGTCAGAATTAATTATTATTACGGATGCTCTGATCGATCGGCCGAAGATTGGTATCGGCCGATAATCACATTTCATGACTCAATAGGTACTCGCCAATCTGGCTGATCTCATGAACCGATTGCAGGTGTTTGTTGATGAGTTTACAAGCATAGGAAGACACACAAGCGCTCCTGTATATTATACATTAGCCAAGGTAAAATGAAAGAATGAGTTATTTTCTGTAAATCAGCCTCAGCCCAGGACATATTCACATCTAAATGGCTTTAATAGACGTGTTTAAGGTTTTACATGCAGCATCCTTCATTTATTCTCTTGCCTTAAGGTTCAAACTTAAAGGTAAAATGTGCTTAATGCATTATAAAGATTGAAGCGTCAGAATCGGTATTCATTATCGGCTGCAAAAATCCTTATCAAAGAATAATTATTAATTACTAATTCCTAATAACGATTTTCTTTTATGATAAGAGCACATAATATTTGACTAGATATTTTTCAAGATACTATTCAGCTTAAAATGACATTTAAAGACTTGGTTAATTAAGTTAGAGTAATTAGGCAAACCGTTTTATAATGATGACTTGTTCTGTAGACAATCAAAAACAATCTAACACTTACGAGGGCTAATAATATGAACATTGAAATGGTTTCATAACTGCTTTTATCCTAGCTGAAATAAAACAAATAAGACTTTCTCTAGAAGAAAAAATATTTTAGGAAATACTGTGAAAAATTCCTTGCTCTGCTAAACATCATTTGGGCAAATAAATTCATAGGAGATGCGAATCATTTAGACTTAAACTCTATTTATAATTTTTGGTGAACTGGCCCTTTGACACCTTGTAAGCAGATATCAGTTGTAGTGTTTAATAACAATGAGTATAAGCACACTAAGTCATAAGCACCATACTAATAAGTGAATGTAGTCACTTCCACTATCCACATTGGAAAGATGGATTTTATTTAACAGGACTTGACAGTAAGGCTTGTTCGGGATAAGTGGATTTTTCTGAAGAGCAAGTGAGAGCCCAGTGCGACAGGTAATCTTCAACATGAAAGAGATTCATTGAGATTTTCAGTCGAGGCTCTTGCTGCCTGTTCGTGTGTGACAGAGACTTTAGATTTTCATGAACATCAAAACAACTGAAGACTAACCTGAACCCTAAACACACAAACAAATATGCTACATTTATAACATCTGATCATTGTCTGCTTAATCATTTTAATGATCAGAGATGCTGTTCTCACAAATATCCATCCTCATCATTTGAGTTTTGACTGTTTAGTTTGTCCGATCATCCTCTTGTTAATTAGTGTGATGATCAGGGATGCTTCTTTTACAAATATCCATCCTCATCCTTTCAGTTTTGACTATTCAGATTGGAGGAGTTTTAATATTATTAAGTGACTCACATTTTAGATGCTGTTTTTTTTTTTTTGCGATGAATGGCTGAGTCTTTAAAAAAAGCTACTTGGTTTACTTTCATATTCAAAGGTATGACTGCATTTTAAATGTGTATATTAAAAAGAAATGGTAGATCATAAGCTTATTTTTGCAGTTAATGCACTCATGCTATATTTGAGCTTCATTAATCTGACTGTGAATGCATATTTAAGTGCCATTTTCATTTCATTTTTATTGTATTTTCATAAAAGTATTTAAAAAAATGACGAATTATAAAAGGTTAGGGGAAAATGTCATTTAAGTAAGAAAAAAATGCCCTGACAAGCAAATTTTAGCATGCAATGGTCAGGTTTAATAATAATAAAACAAAATTAGCCACTTGTAACTTTGGAAAACCACTAGGTTAAAAATATTAACATCAAGCCCTGATTGAAATTGAAACTGAATTCAGCATTCTAGCTTATCGAGGAGGAAAAATATGATATGTAATTCACTGCACAGGTCAATACGCCTTTAGTCCAAAATACATTCCACAACATTGACGCTTGATAAACAATCAAATTAAAGCACACGATGGAAAACCCTGTGGCTTTTCCTTCATTTAAAATCACTTCTTATGTAAAAATCTGCCATGTTCATGGAACATAGTAGATGCCCAGTCATATTTCATAACAACTCGCAGCATTTGTCCAAAACGCTTTCAGAGGCTTTGCAATCAGTGAAGCAGAACAGAGTCGCAGCGGTCGAGTGGAACGACCCCACATCCCAAAAAATCCCTCTCAGAGATCGAACATCCTGGAATAAATCAAGAACAAACAGGGAAAATGGCGAGAACTTCTGAAATATGCTGCTGTGCCACATGATGAAAATACTATAGTATTTATAGTAAATACTACAGTGTTTACGAACCATACTTTAGTAAAGTGTATTATACTGCATATATTAGAATATCTACAACTCTTTAACGAATACTCCAGCAACACACTGTAGTATTAAATATAGTGAACTGATAAACTGTAATAAATATTGTAGTTTTTACTACAGTAAACTGTGGTGTATTGTAGTATACAATGCACTATAGTTGAAGGAAACTACAGTATTGGGCCATTTGACTATAGTTTTCGTTTTACCATAGCAACTATAGAATCAGCCTGCTTGTTTAAATTACTATAGTTGTTGTGTTACTATAGCAACTATAGAATCACCACATTTGTTTATATTACTATAGTTTTCGTGTTACCATAGCTACGATAGAATCACCTCATTTGTTTATATTACTATAGTTGTTGTGTTACCATAGCAACTATAGAATCACCTCATTTGTTTGTATTACTATGGTTTTCATGTTACCATAGCAACTATAGAATCACCACATCCTTTTAATTACTATAGTTTTGGTGTTACCATAGCAACTAGAATGACCAATTGTTTGTTTATATTACTAGTGGTTGTGTTACCATGGCAACTATAGAACCACCCAGTTTGTTTATTTTACCATAGTTATTGTTTCCATAGTAACTATTAAATCACATTTAATGCTACTGTAGTTGTGTTACCATAACAACAATAGAATCACCATTTCTTTTTAAATGACTAGTTTTAATGTTACCATAGCAACTATAGAACCATTAATTGTTTGTTTATATTACTATAGTGGTTATGTAACCATAGCAACTACAGAATTAGCATGTTTGTTTATATTACTATAGTTGTTGTTTCCATATTAACTATTGAATCAAAGTGTTTTCCTACTATAGTTGTGGTACCATAGCAACTATAGAATCATCACGTCTGTTTACATTTTAGGTGTTGTGTTACCATAGCAACTATAGAATCATCACGTCTGTTTACATTTTAGGTGTTGTGTTACCATAGCAACTATAGAATCATCACATCTGTGTACATTTCAGTTGTGGTGTTACCATAGCAACTGTAGAATCACCACATTGTTTATATTACTACAGCTGTTGTGTTACCATAGCAACTATAGAATTACCACATTTGTTTATATTACTACAGTGGTTGTGTTGCCATAACAACTATAGTATCACCAAATCTGCTTATATCACTACAGCTTTTGTGTTACCATAGCAACTGTAGAACCACCACATTTGTTTATACTACTATAGTGACTGTGTTCATTTAGCAAGTATCGTGAACTAATGCATTAATTCAAGTGCTTTACTAAAGTATGGTTTAAAACACTATCATTTTTTTTCTGTAAGTTATTATAGTACTTTTTCATGTAGGGGAGGTCAGTGGTATCTGCATGTCCAGCCCTGGATGTAGTGGCTTAAAAAGAGTCATATTTGGAGGAGTTGTATCCTAGAGCCCCCTGTGTAAAGCATGGAGGGGAAAAAGCAGTCATTAATCATCTCCTGAGTCTTATTTGGGCTCTTCTGCCTCTCTTGTCCTCCATCATTTGGCTGATGGTTTGGGTCACGCTGTTCTTCTAGGCCCCTTGCAGCTTTTTCTCCAGTCTGTCCAGCTTGGCCAGATTCTCCTTCAGCAGTTTGGAGTCGGGGGAGAGGAGAAGAGCTCTTTGGTAGTACATTCGTGCTGCTGCATAGTCTCCCTAAAACAAAATGATTAATCAAAACAAGGAGGCAAATACTCATGTTACAGTGGCAGGACAAAACACTTGGATCAACCTATCAGGTTAAAACGTCCATCACATCAAGGCATGAATGAGAAATTATGCCTAAAAATAGAAAGTTAAATCAAATAAAATGTGCATCATGACACTTTACAATAAGACCCCATTTATTAATATTAACTCAATTTTAAACGTATTCCTCTTAGTTACTATGAACACTAAAAAAGCTGCATAATATTACAGTAGGCGACAGACCTGAGTAACAATAAAATAAGTTATAAAAAAAAAATAAAAAAAAATAAACAGAAGAAAATGTGTATTTTTCTTACCTGAAGTAAAAAAAAATGCATATAATTATTTTTAGTTAATTCATTAATTAACAACATCATACAGGACATTTCAGTAAAGTGCTACATTCATTTTATTTATGCATTTTCATCAATGATATATAATATTCCTCAGTTAATAAATAAAACATGTATGAACACATTTGAAAATAGATCACATTATTTGGCTAAAATCAGGTATTTTATTTAGTTTTGTATATAATGTAAATGTTTCTTATCGTTATTTAGGTTATGACAGGTTTGTTTTGGAATAATTAGCAACATCTAATAGGAATTTATTATATTAAATAAGCATATTTCCCTGCAAATATAATATTCAAATATAAAACAACTGAAAACAGAAGAGACAACTGACTGAAAAGCAATTATTACAGACAGTTTTGTATAACAAGTACTTGTAGCCTTAAAAAAACAAGATGATTTAATGTGTATTTATTTGCATATTTAACCTAAATGTATTATAGTAAAAATGTATAAATATTTAACCTTCATTCATTCATTTTACTTCGGCTTAGTCCCTTTATTCATCAGTGGTCGCCACAGTGGAATGAACCACAAACTATTCCAGCATACGTTTTACACAGCAGATGCCCTTCCAGCTGCAACCCAGTACTAGGAAACATCCATACACTCTCATTTACACACATACACTACGACCAATTTAGCTTATTCAAGTCACCTATACAACACATGTTTTTGGACTGTGGGGGAAACCGGAGCACCCTGAGGAAGCCCACTCCAACACTGGGAGAACATGCAAACTCCACATAGAAATGCCAACTGACCCAACCTGGACCCAAACCAGCAACCTTCTTGCTGTAAAGCGACAGTGCTACCACTGAGCCATCGTGTTGCCCTATTGTTAAACATATCTTTCATTTTGATTTGTGTACATGCATCTGCGAATACATTATCGTGAAAACATGTCTGAATTCAAAGGCAAACACGAGCCATTTCTTTCATTATGCAAAATGTATTTTTCTTTTGATTTAGCTGTGAAATTTTCCACACAAATATTTAATCAGACCTAAATGTCAGCCGTCATACCTTGATATGCTGAATGCCACCCATATTCATCCAGGCTTGCGACTGCTCGGGTTTGAGCTCCACAGCAAGCTTGTAGCTCTGAAAACATTCGATTAACACGTATTATATACTATAAATGCACTTATCACCAATGATGAATTCAACAACATTAAACCATTGAACTGTTTTGTGCTGTGTAAGAAACATGGTCCATTCAAGCACTGAAAGCGCATTTAGTCTGACTCCAGCGCAATAAAATACAGTAAAAAAAATGAAAGAGACTTTTTGTTCACGGCTTTGTAATTGAGCTTTAAACTGGATAGCATTATTATGTAAACCTAAACCCGTCTTTTGACGTTTGTCTCTTTGTGTTCGAAATAAAAGTAGAGCTAAAGGCCAGATTTAAGCGGGACACCTGGAAAGAGTCCAGAGATTGAAGAATAAAACCAAAATAATCCTTGAGTTCACCGGGAATCTTGAAAAAGACACTTAAAAGGTAAAAGAGAGACACTGCAGGGAATAAAATACATCAATTTTGAGCTTTTAGGATTTTATAAAGTGTTATTTATTAAGGCAAATGTAAAGACAACTACATTGGTAAGTATTTTTCTGTCACTTTATCAATTTGTGTCTGTAGATTTCAATACAAAGCAATTTTCTAAGGCCATTTTCTCAAAATAATAAATAATCAAGCCATAAATCTCAGCCTCAGCAGTTTTTTTCATGTCTATATTCTGAAGGTTTTATAGAAGTCTGTGTTCATACATCATCTGCCTGATTGCATTCATTTTCTTCAACAAAAACTGTCAAAATGTTTTTTTTTTGTTGTATTTTCTGAATCAAAATAAGAGGTAAAAAAGAGAAGAAACCAGAATATTGAACCTGACTTCCATTACACAACGTTGGAATAATTGCACTACATACTGTATGAATGCAAATTAGTGCTTATTTAGAGAAATGACAGCTCATTTACATTTTAAACATGTGCTTTTGGAAAATTTGTAATATAAAAAAATGATCAAAACGAAATTTAATAAACAAAATAAACAAAATAAAACAGAAAATAAAACAAAAAACAAAAACCACCAAGCGAAAAAAGCCCAAAACAAAACGAAAAAAACAAAACAAATTAAATTAAACGAATCAAAAAGAAACAAGAAAACAGAAAGAAAACAAGACTAAACAAAATTGAGCAAAATTAAACAGAACATAAAATGAAAAACAAAAAAACACAAGCAAAAAAACCTGAAATGAAACAAAAACAACAAAACAAGTAACACAAAACAGAACATAAAATCAAAAACGCAAAATTCAAAGCAAAAAAGCTTTAAAAAAACAAACAAAAAAACTAAATGAAACGAAAGAAACCAAACAAAAAATGGCTAAACAAAATTAACAAAACAGAACAAAACAAATTAAAGCAAAATGAAAGAGAACATAAAATGAAAAACAAAAAAAAAACAAAGCAAAAAAGCTTAAACCAAACAAAAAAAGCTAAATGAAACGAATGAAATCAAACAAAAAACAAAAACAAAATTACTACATGAAATGAACAAAACAAAACAAGAAATAAAACAAAATGAAACCAAACAAAAAATGACTAAATGAAATGCACAAAACAAAACAAAATGAAAAAAATTAAACCAAACAAAATTAAAATAAACATAAAACCGAAAACACAAAAGAAAAAAAAAGTCAAATCAAAGCAAAACAACAATACTAAATAAAAAAAAATAAATAGACATCAAAAAATAAATAAATAAATAAATAAATAAAATAAAATAAACCAGCATCTACAACTCTTCATGATTGCGGTTGCTAGATGTCAAGAGTTGAATCCCCCAATGAGACATTTTCACTTTTAACCAAGATTATTTGTATGCCTCATTTGCGGATTTAAACATACTCTTTAAAAAAAACGTTTGCAATTTTTCATTCTGAAAGTCTGGTGGTAATTATTAGATTTGTTTCACCCCTATTGACCTGCAGTGTCTCGCTTTAAGAACAAAGCTTGGGAATGAGGCGCGGTCTGGACTGTTTATATTTGGAGATGAAAGGAGGCGGCTGATGTTCGTCTGACAGTATCAGGGCAGCAGTGAGGAAACCGTGTGAAGAAGGTGAGAGAAGAAGCAAGAATCTCAAACACAGTTACCCGACATTTAATCTCATGTAGTCAGACTTTTGCCATTCAGCAAGTCTGATCCACACAGCAGATTAAGCAAAAGCCGGATTCTTGTTAACATGAAATAAATAACAATCTTTAAAGAAATCTCTTAATTTTTTTAAATTTCACAGGAGAGCTAATAATTATGACTTCAACTTAATATTCAAGATGTGCATTTCTGCATATATAATCTGATCAATTAGCAAAAAGGCTTCTGAGAGGACTGATAAAAACATGAACATGCAAAACAATATAAGCCATCCCATGCAATTAGATCTTTCAGTTCCAGTAAAGGCGATTGTTATTTGTAACATGCGTTAAATGTGAACTGTCTGCAGACAAGCTGAAAACCGATAAACAAGACTATGAGGAATGGGAATATTTGAGGAGCTCTTCCTCACAGTGACAGCTGGAAGTGAGCTTTTACCTGGAAGGCTCGATCCAGCTCGTTCATTTCTCGAAGCTGGTTTCCCATTGAGAAGTGCAGCTCTGCCCTCACCGCAGGCTCTGAAGATTCCTGCTGCAGTGCCGTCTTCAATGCATCCAGAGCCTGAAAAACACACATATTAAAACTCAGCATCTCTTGCAGAGTGACATATTCTGCTTGCTTTCTCAGGAGGTGATTTCTCACAATGAAATTTCTCTTTGAGGCTGAGAGAACCGCTTGTGATAGGAAGCATGAGCATGTGTGATAGGAAGAAATTATATGCAATTTATTCTAGTTCAAGGCGCCTGAGTGTGATTTAATAAAATGTGTTCGTTTTGAACTTGCCGACTGCAGCTGTTCAGCATGGACTGAGGCGGATTGGTAACTAACCCCTATGTCATATAATATGTACATGGATTTTTTTCTTTAGATGAAGATTTAGATTTTTTGATTTTCTGAATCTAATGCAAGTGAGACCAACAAAAAGTCGTCTTTGCAAAACCCAGCAGACTAGTGTTAGTTACCCAAATCTATGATAAAATGTCTGAAATTTATGATAAAATTACTTTATGACTGAGACAACACTAAAATCATTAAACGGAAAAAGATGATATTGAAATGTAGTAAAAACATATAAATTTGTTCAACATCTGACCTAAAAACAAAACGAACCAAACCAACAAAATGAAACCAAACAAAAATATTACTAAACATAAAAACGAAAAACACGAAAAGATAAAACTAAACAACAAAACTATATTAAATTAAACAAATGAAACAACCCCCTCCAAAAAAAGAAACAAAATAGAACATAAATCAAAACTAAACAACATGAATGATCCCAAACAAAATGAACAGAACAAAAAATTTAAAATAAATAAAAAAAACAAAACAAAAGAAAAAAAAAACAAATGAAACCAAACAAAATGAAACAGAAGATAAAACAAAAAACACACAACACCACACAAAAGAAAAACAAATGAAATGAATTAAAACCAAGCAAAACAAAATAGAAGATAAAACAAAACACTAATGAAACCAAACAAAACAAAAGAGAACCTAACGAAAAAGCAAATTAAATCAAACAAAACAAAACAAAATAGAAGATAACATGAAACAAAAGAAAACAAATGAAATGTACATAAAATGAAACAAAACTAAACAAAAGAAATAAAACAAAATAGAAAAAAAAAATTAAACAAATTAGATTAAACAAAACAAAATAGAACAAATTATGAAACAAAACAAAACAAATGAAATAGAACATAAAATTAAACAAAACAAAATAAAATAAACAAACCAAACCAAATAAAACAAAATAGAACATAAAATGGAAAACACAAAATAAAAAACAACAAAACTAAATAAAATGAAACTAATTAAATCAAACAAAACAAAAAGAACAAAGTAAAGCAAAAAAAAAGAAAATAGAACATAAAATGAAACAAAACGAAAGAAAAAAATGAAACCAAACAAAATGAAATAGAACCTAAAACGAAAAACACGAAATAAAAAACAAAACAAACAAAAACAAACAAAACAAAACGACAAAACTAAATAAAATTAAACTAATTAAATAAAACAAAACAAAATAGAACATAAAACGAAACAAAACAAAACAAAAGAAACAAATAAATCCAAATGAAATGAAACAGAACATAAAATTAAATGGGGGGTACATACACACTTGTATTCGTTCATTCATTCATTTTCGTGATTGCTTAGTCCCTTTATTAATCTGGGGTTGCCACAGTGGAATGAACCGCCAACTTATCCAGCAAGTTTTTATGCAGCGGATGCCCTTCCAGCCGCAACCCATCTCTGGGAAACAGCACTTGTTTTCAAACAAGGTAAAATGAAACAAATGAAACATAAATAGAACATAAAAGGAAACTAAACAAATCAAAACGACTAACAAAATCAATGAAACCAAAAGTAAAATGAAACAAAAAATGAAAAAACAAAACAAACAAAATTAAACTAAACTTAAACAGCATCCACATTGCGGTTGCCAGATGTCAGGAGTTGAAACTCCCTAATCAGACATTTTCACTTTTAACCAAGATTTTGTGTTGCACATTTTGTATAGATACTTCATACAGTATTTATTTATCTATATATTCATTTCTAGAGTTTATAGAAGACTGCTGGCATCTGTTAATTTAGACTACAAAGATATGATTAGTGATTATTGTTTAATAGAGTGTGAGTGAGCACTTATTTTTGTTTCGTAAAAATTTCTACATGGCATAAATACTTGCCATAAACCCTCAATCTTCAACACAAGACCAATTATTTCACGTTTTGAGAGTTACCAGTAACCAGTACAGCTTCTTAACTGGTTTAACAGCTTATACAAATGCTGACAAATAAGCATTAACCGTTAATAAAGACGCAAAAGGTTCATTCATAAATATGTCTTGATGATTCAGAATAAATCCCTCTGGAAAAGACTTGGTACTCTACAGATCTTTTTCATAATGAGCAACATGGTGCACTAAAAGAAGTCGATAGTGCTAAAACATAAAATACACGAATCCTTTAAGATCCAGCATAAATCGATTCACAGAGCAGCAAGTGATGGAGAAACCTTGTGTTTAGTATGGTGCGATAAAAGGGAGTGCGCATGAACTGACATGCAAAGACACACACCTCAGTGTGGTTGCCTTGTTTGCTGTAGATGGCAGACAACAAGCGGTAACATTCAATGCAGTTGCTGGTCTTTGAAATGATGCCCAGGGTCATTTTCTCTGCCTCCGTAGAGCGACCTGCCATGGCTAAAACCTGCGCCTGTGGAGGCAACGAGATGGGAAGAGACAAACGAGTTGAAAAAAAAGGAGGGAGGGAATGAAAGAGCAGCCAGAGAGTAACCTGAGAGGTCCTGGCCTTTGTTTTTCAAGGCGGTGATGTGAATCACAGTGAAAGGTCTGTGGAGACTCAATTAGGCTGATGTTATACGCTTTGAAATAACCGGTTTCAAAGATCAAGTCATGCCAATGCTTACAACAAACACAACACAGCAGTGTGAAGTAAAACCTCAGTTCATTTTCTCCACAGGGAAATAGATTTTTAAAAGTAACTGCTTGAAAAAGTGAGATTTGAGGTTATTATTGACTGATTGTGTGCGCCTTCGTTGATCTGTCTGTGATATTCCACTTTTTTTTCTAGAAAAGGTTGTGCTGAACAGCAGAATTCACCTATCCCCATATAGAAATCTGATATATGGAAATATATGCAAACAGCTCACATGACTTACAAGTTCATATTTGGATTTGGCATATATAAAATATGTCATATACGCAACATATACAGGGTGGGCCATTAATATGGATACACCTTAATAAAATGAGAATGGTTGGTGATATTAACGTTCTGTTTGTGGCACATTAGTATATGTGAGCAAGATGGGTGGTGACCATAGTGGCTATTTTGAAGTCGGCCATCTTGGATACAACTTTTGCTTTTTTTGATAGGAAGAGTGTCATTTGACACATCAAACTTATTGGGAATTTCACAAGAAAAACAATGGTATAGTGGGCTCCACCCACTCGCTATATTTACTGCATATTTTTAAATTCTTCAGATTTGACTGTATAACTTGCAGTGCATCATGGGATTGTAGTCCCTTGCCTCATTAAAGCCACCAAAAAGCTGGCTGGCTTCTTTGGATCAGTTTGGTTAGTCGGTGGCTTATATTATGCCTCTTTATTAAAGACTTTCCTGTCCACATGGTAAAAAGCACTGCCAAAACCAGCACCACCAAACATTTCAAATATAAACATACTGTCCCTGCTGAAAAATCCAGCTTAAACCAGCCTAGGCTGGTTGGCTGGTTGACTGGTTTTAGCTGGTTGACCAGCCTGGTTTTAGAGGGGTTTTGGCCATTTCCAGGCTGGTTTCCAGCCATTTCTAGCCTGGTCTTAGCTGGTCAGGTTGGAAAATGACCGGCCAAATCCAGCTAAAACCAGCTTGACCAGCCTGGTTTAAGCTAGATATAGCTTTTTTTGGCTGGACTCCCAGCTTGTCTAGGCTGGTCAAGCTGGTTTTAGATGATCATCTCCCATTCTGACCAGCTAAGACCAGGTAGGAAATGGCTGGAAACCAGCCTGGAAGTGGCCAAAACCCCTCTAAAACCAGGCTGGTCGACCAGCTAAAACCAGCCAACCAGCTTAGACTGGTTTAGGCTGGATTTTTCAGCAGGGGTATCTGTTCAAATATACTAGATATGTTCATATTTGGCCATTTATAAAAATAATAAATGTAAACATATATACATATTTGAAACTCCAATGGTTGGAAAAATAAGGAATTTTTTAATTATTTGTTGTCTAAATATGACATATTTTATATGTGAAACCCAAATATGAACATATATTGCATATATTTCCATATGTCAGATTTCAATGTGGATCGGAGTGCTGTAACAAACAAAGTCAAACCAAAATATACAATGATCTCCACCCACTCGCTATATTTATTTTTTATTTATTTTTACATTCTACAGATTTACATTTGATTGTATTGTTTGCTTCGCATCACTGGATTGTAGTCCTTTCAAAGCCATCAAGGAGCTGGCTGGCTTCTTTGACTTCTTAGCTTGGTTCGTGGCTTACATTACACTGCCAAAAGCAGCACCACTAAACATGTCAAATATATACATACTGTATCTGTTCAAATATACTAGATATATAAACATGTATATAACATTATAGCTAATACATTTAAGTATATATGTACATATTTAAAACTCAAATGGTTAAAAAAATATATGAAATGGCAATATTTTGCAATATTTCTAAATATATGTTGTCTTTATATGACAGGTGTTCAACCCTGTTCCTGGAGCTCTACCTTCCTGCAGATTTAAGTTGCAACCCATATCAAACACACCTGTCTGTGATTATCAAGTGCTGTTCGGGTGTGTTGGATTGGGATTGGAGCTGAACTGTGCAGGATGGTAGATTTCCAGGAACAGGCTTGAGCACCACTGATGTTTGACATATATTGCCAGCATTGCTATATTTGACACATACTGTCAGAACCAGCATCGCAAAAAAAAAGCGGACGCACTGTTATGAAAACATCGAAAATAACCGGATAAACTGGAAAAAGATTAAGATATGAAGTGATGGGATGTTTTTTTTAGGCTAACGTTTGAGTGTAATCTCACCAGGGCTAGCCAGATATCTGTGCTGTCAGGCTGCAGTGTGGACGCCTCTCTGTAAACCTCCAGAGCCTCCTCATATCTACCTGTGTTGTAGTATAAAGCACCCAGAGGAGTCAGGATATCCACTTTACGGACCACTTGCAGGGCCCTGTGTGAGACACACACACACACACACACACACACACACACACACACACACACACACACACACACACACACACACACACACACACACACACACACACACACACACACACACACACACACACACATACACACACACGCATGCACGCACACCTGTGGTTTAGTTCACAGGTGTGTAAGCTGGATACACTGTATAAACTATTCAGTTTCATTTGATCTCGTTTTACCTTTTGTACCACAGCTCTGCCTCTTTATTATCATTGGATGAGCGGAGAAGACGACCCAGGTTCACCATGGCAACATAATGAGCTGGCTTGAGACGCACAGCTTCCTGGTAATGAAAGGCCGCACGATCCCCACGACCTAAAATGGGGATAAATGACATAATGCATGTATATACATGCATTATATATATATTCATATATATACATATATATATACATGTATATACAGTTGAAGTCAGAATTATTAGCCCCCTGTTTCATTTTTTCCCAATTTGTGTTTAACGGAGTGAAGATTTTTTTATCAACACATTTCTCATCATAATCGTTTAAAAAACTCTTTCTAATAACGGATTTATTTTATGTTTGCCATGATGACAGTAAATAATATTTGACTATATATATTTTTTAAGACATTTATACAGCCTAAAGTGACATTTAAAGGCTTAGCTAGGTTAATTAGGTTAACTAGGCAGGTTAGGGGGTAATTAGGCAAGTTATTGTATAACGATGGTTTGTTCTGTTGACTATCAAAAAAGAATTAGCTTAAAGGGGCAAATAATTTTGTCCGTAAAATGGTGTTTAAAAAATTAAAAACTGCTTTTATTCTAGCCGAAATAAAACAAATAAGACTTTCTCCAGAGGAAAAAATATTATCAGACATACTGTGAAAATTTCTTTGCTCTGTTAAACATCATTTGGAAAATATTTAAAAAAGAAAAAAAAATCAAAGGTGGGCTAATAATTCTGACTTAAACTGTATAATCAACCATTGAAATTACAAATAAGTACACATATCTGTTTAAATATGATCTATACGGCCATATATGAACACATTCATACAATTATAGAGCATATATGAACATATTTTTAATTCCAATGGTTAAAACAAAAAAATAAACAACAATTTTTGCAATATTTTACATATTTAAAATCCAACTATGAAATTGTATGTCATATGTTATTTGCATATATTGCCATGTATCAATTTTATATGTGGGACCTGGCGACTTCTACCTGGCTCTGACCTCTGCACACTACACGTAACATTCAAGAAACCGAACATGACGCAAAACCCTATTAAAGCCACAGTAATGTGTTTTTGTTTGTTAGTTCATTTACTTTCAAGAACTTTAAGCGACAATTTATTTACCTGTGTCCACCAGGAACACGCCATAGTTGTTATGTAGGTCAGAACTTTCAGGACAGTTCTCAATACCCTTGGTATAAATCTCATTCGCTTCTTTTGAGTGTCCCTACACACACACAAAAAAAAGTATAACAGGGTAAACATCAGCGTAAAAGGCTATGAGGTGTCTAACAATCACTTCACATGAGTGTCATTTATCGAAACAAGAACAGAGAACAAGACCTGGTCAGCATATAGAGAGGCGAGACTGGAGTACGCATCTGCGAAATGAGGGCCGAACCGAATCGATTCTTTCAGCATGCGCTCCGCCTCTTCCTCTTTCCCCTGAGATCTGGAAAACAACATCATCATCATCATCTTCTTCCTCATAATGTACTTGGGTAGCTGACAAATAGCCTTTTTGAACAGCACCATTTTTCAAAATAATAGTCATAATTAAATAGTTGGAGTTCTGATGTTTGCGAAAGTGGTCACTGTAATCGTAAAAATCTCTTATA